TTGTAGACTTTTGAATGATAGCCATTCTGGCTGGTGTGAGGTGATACCTCATGGTAGTTTTGAGTTGCATTTCTCCGATAATTAGTGATATTGAGCATTTTTCATGTGCCTGTTGGCCATCTGTATGTCTTCACTGGAGAGATGTCTATTTGGGTTGAAGCCATATCATTTTCTCCGTGTGTGTGTCTCTCTATCTCTGTCTCTCTAAGTCTCTCTCCCTCCCCACCCTTCCCATCTCTAGGCTCCATTTTCTCTCCATTCTTGGGCAGGATCTCAGAAAGGGTTCCCAGCAACTGCAGACAGTGCCTGTTTTAGCAGTTAAATAATCCCTGGGGAGAGCCTCTTTCCCCGTAATCCCAGCTCTCCTTCCGGTTGGCCGAGCCCGAGATACATCAGGGCGGGGAGAGCGGCCCGCTGGTGGGGGAGGGCAGTCCCCCGGGAAAACTCAGGTGCCGTCACCAAGTGAGAGGGGCCAGGGGGCAGGCAGACCCCATCAGCGTTTGCCCCGTGGCGAGTCTCCCTGGGCAGTGAGCAGTGATGGGGACGTGGGTGTCTGTCCAGTGGAGGCTCTGTTCTCCCAGCAGCTGTTGATTCAGACTTTTCGGAAGAAGAGGCTGAGTGTGTCTCAGTGGAAGAGGAGAAAATGTTTCCCTTGGGCTCCCAGGCAGCCCTGATTCATTGGTTCTCATTGGACTAAGGACGTGGTACAGTGGAGCCAGGCAGGTGGTGACCATCAGCGCAGCCCTGCGGGTTTTTACATTCCTGTAAACACCAAGTTTCCACCATGAAGCATCCCCTCGGACTCCTCAGGTCAGGGAAATGGGTTTACAGATCCATAAAACCAATAAAGGTGCAGGCCGGAAATTGTGGTGTCCAGAAGCCAGCAGAGAATCAAAAGGATTACTGTGAATGGAAGTCCTGCCGAAACGTCCATGTGTTTTTGCCCAGTGTGAGTTTTTTTCCCTTTTCTGTTTTTTTTCTTTTTTTCAACTGGAATTTCTTTATGTATACTGTACGTATCTTTTGGGATCTTGTACTTGGGAGAGCATTTGGTTTCATTAAACATGAATTTGAATTTCTATCATATAGGAATAAAGCCCTATTTAAAGAGTGCTGCCAGGAAATTTGGGAGGGGATGTCATAGAAAGGTGGGCTCCAAACTTCTGTGATTACACCCTCATTTCAGCAGAAAGATTTTGAGCGTGCCCCTCCAATGCATGTGTATTTGCGTATGAATCATATCCAAGTATCAGATACTAATAGGCTCTATGAAATGTGAAAAATAGAAGCTATACCAGGCGAGGGAGGAAATAAAAATAGTAATGCCGGTCTTTTCTTCCTGCACTTTGAAGGATGTGTCCAAAATCTGATGCGGTGGGCCAGCTAGCTGGAGACCCTGGAAGGTGTCACAGAGCTCAAAGGCAGACTGCTGGCAGAATACCTTCGGCCCAGGGGAAATCAGTCTTTGTTCTGTTAAGGACTTCAACTGATTGGACGAGGCCCACCCACATTATGGAGGTTCCACTGATTTAAGTGTTAATCACATCCAAAAAACCACCTATCCTGAAAAGTCCAGAGTAAGTTTGACCCAATATCTGGGCACCATGGCTCAGCCAAGCTGACACAAAATACACCATCACAAACCCACATGAGGCATTTCCAATTCCCACGAGAATTACAGATCATAGGAAGCCCACTAATTGGTGTTTTATGTGCAAAGGAGGTAGTCAAAAATTAGAAGATGTCGGGTTGAATAAACATGAGGCTCTTTGGCTCAAAATATTAGGTAAGTGGGTGGGAGCAGGACTTGGTACAACCTCCCGGGAGAGCAACGTGGCCTGTGTGTCAACAGTTTCAATGCATTCTCTTTTGACCCATACACGTCACACCTGGGAAGTCCATTCAAAGATGTTCAATGAGGTGTTATTTATAAGACAAAAAAAATCCATGTGTAGGGGGAGTGATTTGATAAATGATGGCATCTCTTTCAATGAAATGCTGTATTTAAAGAAAGCTATCTACACTGATGGAAAAAAAATATTCATGACAATTACTGAGTGACCACATGCATGCCTTCTACATAGGGTATGATTATTTCCTGTATTAAAAAAAGTGATCTACACACATCCAGGCTTACATATCATGGAAATTTCCAGAAAGAGCCACAAGAAACTGCTGTGTTCAGTCTGTGAAAGACAGACTCTTACTTTCACCTTTGAGCCCCTTGAAGTGTTCTCCATAACATGCGTGCATATGGGTTTATATTTATTTTCACTGGCAGGGAGGCTAGTGCCTACCGTCACCGTGACTGAGCTGATGTCTGAGCCGGCTGCAACAGTTTCCAGGACGAGCTGGTTGGTGGGCTTTTCTAAGGAAAGCAGGCTCCTGCCCTGTGGCTGCAGGGAGCACAGGGAGACCCCAGGCCCACGGGGATGGCCAGCGAGGCCATCTGCCTAAAGTGGGGGGCTGAAGCCAGCAGGGCAGTGAGGTGCTGAGGACACCCTCCTGAGACCCCAGGGGGCCTGCGGCGCGTCAGCCCACTGACCTGTCGTCGTGGGACCTGCCACATGGTGCTGGGCACGCAGTAGTGGAAGTGGTATCCTCTAAATGCGTTACTCAACAGCAATCCACTGGACCCTCACGACAACACAACAGAGAAAGGGCTGGTGTGGCCCCACTTCATAGATGAGAAAACCGAGGCCAAAGCCAGTGAATGAGTGAGTGGACGGATGGATGGATGAAGCCACCCAAGAGTGGTACGTTTCTAAAATGACTCCGTGGGAGGAAAAGCACGTATATTCTAGAGCTGGGTTTTGTTGCCTGCAACCCAGACAGTCAAACTCATGGGCCTGTCAGAGAATCGGGCGAAACCTGCAGACCAATCCCCGCGTCCCATCAGTGGCATTCTTAGGTCCTCAGGCTCCCACAAGTGGACCCAGTGTCCGGGAGCCCTGTCTTGTGGGGTTTCTAGACCTAAGAATTCAGGATTCTGGGATAAATTATGATCTCCCTACTCCCTCGAAGCTTATAAATTTAAAACCACCCCCCCGAAAAAAAATTACAGAACCATTCCATCTGAACCCTGTCGTCTCCATGTCATATACAGAAAGTATCTGGGGGAAAAAAACAAGAAAGGAAAGGCAGTGTCCGGGGAATAGACTGCTGTGGAGTCCAAAGCCGGGTTTTGCTGTCCGACATCTGCAGTTTTTACAAGTTGTATGGCCTGGGTGACCACCTAATTTATTGTCCAAATGTGGGCACTTCTATGTGTGAAAGGAGTACGTTAGTACTTATGCGGAGGCAGGAGGCACAGCCTAGCAGTGTCCCAGCCTAACCAGGTCACATCACCTTGGGCAGAACGAGTTCCTGTTGGGTTGTGTCTGTTTTGTGGAGAGGGGGATGGGCTATCTCCCAGGAGCCCTGGGCAGAGAGGGGCACCTGCTCACTGGCCCCACCAGCCTGCAGCTTTGGCTGATTCCTGTCCCTGCACCTCTGAACCCACCATCCTCTGGAAGTACACCCACAGCATGGTCTTGAGGGGCCCCGGTTGGAGGGTGGCACAGCCCCGAACCAGATCACGCCCAAGATCAGGGACTTTGGTCTGTTTGCTCTTGTCTCCTCCCAGGTCTGGCCACGGGCTCTCCACAAGGTTCCCCTCAGTCCCTGGTGCCCTCACTCCACTGTTTACTGGATCAAAGCATGGTGACCCGAGGGGCTGGCCACCGTGAGGGCCACTCGTCCCAATGCACCCATCCCAAGCCAAACCCCAGGTCATCCAAGAGGCCAGGGCAGGCATGGGTTGAAATTTAACCATCAGGCTCAGGGCTCTGGGTGAGTTTTTAGAAAAAGAGGCGGGTCCATCCTGCTCCTCGGCTGTCCTGACCACAGGGAGGACAGATCGTAGGAAAAACCTCCCTCTTGTTATTGGGTCCCTGGGGGACAGACACAAGATGCTCAGGACCCCGGTGTTGGGCGGGAGCCATACGGAGTCCTCAGGTCTCTCCATCCTGGTCAAGCAGACGTGGGGAGCCCTCCGCAGTCACTGGCTAAGGCCAGAGCGATCATGCTCGCTGGGTCCCTGTGCAGAGAGAAGCAAGAATAACGCGTGTAAGTAGAGCTTGGAGTTTCCCCAGATACAATTTGATGTTTGTCTCATTTTCTGGTGTCTTTCAAAATGGGAGACGGTCGGGAAGCAGACAGTTTGGGTTCAGACTTCCAGCTTGTCTTTCCCGTGGGAGATGAGGGCCAGTCCTTAGCGTCAGATTCACGGGGCCATCAGGAGGGCGAGATGCTCGAAGCAAGGCAGGTAGCAAGCACCCCCTGGCCCTGAGACAAGCTCCTGTTTCTCGGCATCCAGCCCCGACGAGCCATGCCCGGCTGGCATCAGGCTCCAAACCCCAGCAGGGGACTTCAGCAAACACGGTATGTAGGGCACCCGCCAGCTCCATCCAGGGACTGCCCTGCACCGGCCTCCTGGCAGAGGTGACCTTGAACTCCTCCCACCGCTCTCTGGGCCTCAGGGTCTTCCTCTGTCACATCCAAGCCCCGCCTGGACGGCTGAGCTCGCCATTGACATCAATATTCTGCACTTCCCAGGTTCGGGTGATTGAAAGAGCGGGGCTTCGGAGCCAGGCGCTCTGGGGGTGGGCAGCAGTGACACTTGTCAGTGGTGCAAGCTGGCCGCTCCACCTCCCTGAGCCTCAGTTTCCTCGTCTGTAAAACGGGATGATGAAATGCCACACAGGGCCACATAAGGTGAAATGACGTGGGCGGAAAGCCTGGCACACACAGGGCTCTCGGCCAATGCTGACGGCTCTTCCAGTTAATCCGTTGGTCTGCACCGGAGGTCCAGGCTGAAATCTCCACTCAGATCACAGGGTGATGTCTAGGAGCACCTTGGGCTCCACTCGGGTTCCCATTAGGCCAGACCTTGGGCCCCTGCTGGTGAGGGCAGCAGCCTGGGGTGTGCTGGCCAACACCCCCAGGTGAGCGTGGCCCCAGGAGCTGATGCAGGTCCCAGAGAGTAGGAGACCCAGGGGCCCTCTGGGACTCAGCACAGAGACAGACACCAGAGCCCTGAACTTCTGGTCGCCCAGCACTCAAAGGGGCCCTCAGGCCAGCAGCAGCCCCTGGGGGCCTGCGAGGCCTGCAGAACCTCAGGCCCCACCCAGACCTCCTGTAGGTTTCAAACCAGAGAGGACAGTGTGCTCGCAGAGGGAAAGCCCCTCACACCCCTGTTCCCAGCGGCGGCGGCTGTGGCCGGCTTAGTGCACAGCCTCTGGCTTCCCTTGAAGCCCACAGAAACAGACATGAGATGTTTCAAAAAAGCAAAAGTACCACTCAGTAGAGTGTGGCCATGCAGCTCGGCTTCCTTCACTTAAAATCAGGCAACAGGTGCTCCCTGTGCTCTGCAGACACAGCCCCAACCTCTCCCCGCTGCCTGCCACCCCAGGGTGACAATCACCAGCCCTCAGCCTCACTCATTCACACGACCTGCATGGCCTCGGGAGGCCCCAGTTTTCCCCCTCGGGACCAAGGAAGACGACTGCCTTTGTACCAGCCTAGCCTCTGCTCTGTGAATCTGTGCGAACTGGGTCTGTCGCATGGCTGGGTGCTCCTCACCCACCGTTAGCCAGACGACCATTCCCCATGTTCCTCTTCACCGTGACGCCCTCCAGCTCCCAGCTCTGTGCCACTCCCACCCCAGCTCACCCTCAAATCCTGGTGTAAAGTATTTCTATGTTTGTGTATCAAAATAAAGGATTGCCTTTAGCAACGTGTCCACCTTCGTAGCGAAGGCAGACACGAATCTAAGGGTGGAATTTCAGGCTTTGAGCGGCCTTTGGTGGAGGGCTGGGGGTGGCCCTCAGGGTCCACAAAGAACAGAGAAAAGCCTGCCAGGTCTGGGCAGCAGCCTAGAGCAGCAGAAACCTCGAGCCAAGGGGGTGAGGGTCCATTCTGCTTAGTTTTCTTGCTGCTGGAGTGGTCTCTCCTTCTTGTAGGGAGCTGGAAGGGTGACTGTGAACAGGCCCCGTGGCCACAATGTCAGCCAGAGGGGTGGGATGTGCCTGGAAGAGAAGTTCCGACCCGCTCTGCCCTCGGCCCCCCTCCTCCACCGCCTGCCTCCCCGGGTCTGGGTCTGGGCTGGACCCAGGGGGCCTGACTTCTGGTGGCCACACGGTGACAATGACCATGGGTCAGAACCAACCCAGTGCGGCACCACTCGGCCAAGGCGAGCTGCAGTCCAAGTGGGAAGGAACAAGGTTCTGGCAGCATCTGCAGAGGAGATGAGCGAGGGTCTGCCCGTGGGCGGGGTTGAGAGGCTGAGCGGTTTGGGGCCCCAGGCTTGCACTGGGCCAGCTTCCTGAGCACAGCGCTGGCTCCCTGGGGACCCCATTGGTGAGGTTTCTGCCTCTGAGGCTGGAATGATGCCACCCGCCTTCAGGGTCTCCCCTTCCTTCTCTGCCCCAGTGCACTCCCTCTGGAAGGGCCCGGCCTCTGTGCAGGGGGGCGCCCGGCAGTCCCCCATCAACATCCGCTGGAGGGACAGCGTCTACGACCCCCGGCTGAAGCCCCTCAGGGTCTCCTATGATGCGGCGGCCTGCCTGTGCGCATGGAACACTGGGTACCTCTTCCAGGTGGAATTTGACGACTCCAGCGAGGGGTCAGGTGAGCCTGAGCTGGGGTTTCGGTCCCTTGGGTTCTGTCACTCCTGAGCGTATACACACTGTTCGGGGACAGAGAACAGGCAAGGGTGGTGACGGGGCGGGGGGTGCAGAGTGACACAGACCACCTATGTTCCCGCCATCACTGGGGAAGGAACAATGCACTAATAAAACAGAAGTATGTGTCACAGCAGGAAAAGAGCAGAACCGGTAGAGGAGAGAGGGGGTGGAGGGAGGCCTGAGGGGAGAGGAGGAGGGAGATCATGCTGATGCGGGG